CCTGTAACCCGCCAATAGCCCCGAGCCACGGGCTTCCAACTCAAGGAAAAGTATTACGTGCTGACATGATATGTGCGTGCAGATCAATGATATTGACGTTGCATTGTGATGTATTGATAATATCGGAATGATATTGAGATGCAATATCACCTGAATATCACGATCGGAACATACCTGTAGCCAGTGCCCCTTCTCCATGCACCAAATAATCATCTATCTTATTTCCTCCACTTTCTCTCTCTAGAAAGTTGCAAAAACGAGAAAAGGGCATTTACATACATATGCACCACCTAATTCTTACCTATTTACATAGCTAATATTTGAACTTCAATATCTCTAAATCTTTCATGTCCCATAAAAAATATCCTTATCTTAACTTTTAAAATATGAAACACACTTTTTCATGCGTACAAATGGTATATGTAAGAATTAAAGTTTTAGGTGTTAGATATATAAATTCATAAGAACTGAGTGGTATGCATGTACTCTTTCAAAAGTGAGAGAGAAAACTGTTACTCTCTCCACTCTGTGTCCTTAAAATAAGTGTGATTTGTTGTTCCAACTTTATGCAATGGTGTAATACAAAAAATAAATTAAGTAAACCATACATGCTCTTCTAAGGTGGCAGATAAATCTTACAAAACATACGTACTCATGCAGACATAGCGAAAGTTTATGTCTGCTCTGTTATGTGCAGTGGGACTATGGTGTTGCAAAATAATGATCATACGTATTTCTTTTAGCGAGGTGAAAATGTCTAGCACTTCTGACAATGCACTCTACATGCACTGCAAATTTAGCTGTCTGTCTGAATGTTAGATGAAAATAAAATGAAAATTCAAAACATAATATGTATTGATTTGAGTGGATTGCAATGATCAAAATTACACATTTATGATGACTTATGGGAGACATGTTAACTCACCAATAAACATAAGTGGAACCCTCGTCATGTTTGAAACTCATAGAGGCTTGATGAAGATGAATATAATAGCCATCTATAAGCCATAATGAACATAATGGATGAAGGGTCTTCATGGTATTTGAAATGAATTTAAAAGCAAGTTAATGAGCATGAAACTTTATTGAACTTTGAAAATTTAGCAAGTTATAGATTAAATAAAAGAAGATTATAATCAAAACTTAGAACGTCTTATACACCAACAAAATTTGCAACACAAGCCTAGAAAGAAGATTAGCAATGGTTCAACCAACATAATCAAAACTTAGAATGTCTTATACACCAACAAAATTTGCAACACAAGCCTATACATGGATAGAATGCATTATTTAAGGAGTTCAAAAGAAAGCTATGCATGTATTAGGATGTTCAAATAGATTGGGTCACGTATGTGCTTCATGAGACACTTCAACTTATGTATATCACTTTGAAAGTCGAGGAAGTCATCTTCTAGAATATGAAATTATTTAAAATGCTCAGATCTTTGAAGTTAAATATGCATGTATGTCGATCATAGTGCTAAATGCTAGATCATACGGTTTGTAAATGCTATGAAAGCAAAAGACACAATTAACAAAAGTGTGATGCATTGTGTTAAACATTAAGTTTTTTTTTAATAATTTTTTTTTCCAAGGATAAATGTAAAACCATTAAATGATACATGCTCTCAAGTTGAATTACTTGCACATAAGGCAAGGCCGTACGTTTTACATTAATTAGTTTGATCCTCACTCTCATAAAGAGTGAAGTTGACAAGCTAAGCATCCTCTCATCTAGTCTGGTTCTTCTTATTATAAAGACTAGGTTAAAAAACTTGAGCATATCCTTGACTTGTCTGACATTCCTTCTTATGAGAACTAAAGTTGATAAGGTTAAGTCAATCTTCAACCAAAATACTCCTTAAATTTACTAGAGTTGATAGGACTACTGCCCTAACATAAACCAGTGGTAAACTTTGATCAAATCATAAATTTAAATGATGTAAATAATACATTTTTTGGATGACAACCGAGTTGAAGGTATATCTCAACTTGAGTTATCCACTTTTAAAATGAATCTTTCAAATTATGGATGCAATCATTTCAAATATCTATGAAGATGACTGTATTGAATGTGAATCTTAACTGGAAAGATTTACTCTTAGAATAAAAATATTTGAATTACAACTCTAGTTGCTCTCATACAAAATAAGTATTATAAGTAGAAAAAAGAAAATTAAAATAAAAAAAAGGAATTCATATCTTATATTTTTCTGAATTTTACATGCAAGTAGATCTATTATGTATGACTGGGTGACAATAATTGCACAATCTTCACAACAGTCTGCATTTTCATCCATTGTATTGAAAATACGAATCACACTTGATCTATTCGTTCATCTTCAAATCGGAGCTGAATACAAATTTACTACTCCATTTTGTGAATTAAATTATAGCCAAAAGTCATGATAAGTGAGTGCATAAAGAACTCCTTCATAGGCATGTGCACATTTCTAAATCTTATAACATTCTGATATGAAAAGTTATGATATATTAGTCTTGCTCCAAGTACAACAATAACATGTGGATATGGTATAAGATAGATTATAAAAACAGTTACAATCACATTTACAATATCCACTTCCATCAAGATCAACTCGAAATGATTCACACGAGTTATCATGGACTTTGTACTCATGAGGATTTATCAAGTTAAGTCTATTAATCGCCACGCTTCTCTTTCAAATCATTCAACTAATTTTTTTTTTTTGTTTTATGCACAAATTTAAATTAGTTGGCTAATAATAATTATTATGCTAATTCTGCTTGCTTGATAATATTAATAATACTATTATTATAATAAATGACACAGATTAGTGCTTGTATACATAATGCCCGTGCTTGTCTAATTAGCAACACCATTACAAAATTTAGATATATTGGTGCCCATTATTCCATAATGAAAACTATGATCATAGCATCCAATTTATTTTGTGACATTTCATTCAACCTACCAATCATGTTTTCTTATAATAAAAAAAATATAAAAATTGCATATTAAAAATATTTAATTTATCTATATTTCCAGCAATTTCTTTTTTTTTTTTTTTTTGTACATAATATTTCTATATCCTTTAACCTCATTTGGCATAAAGCTTTTTGAAAATTCTCTTCAAATGACATAAGCAACAATGATGTGCAGCCCTCAAAATAATCTCCATACAAACACAAACCAAACTAGGTTGTTTATCTAACATTACATAAAGGTTTTGTTGACACCAAATGCTTTTAGTGCAATCATGAACATTACTAAAAAATGACTTCTATGAATCATTTAACTTAGTCTCAACAACAGCAAATGCAAGTGGTAATATATCATTATTAGTGCATCTTTATACTTTTCTAATCAAAAGGTACCATCAAGCCATCAAGCTTTAGTGCTAAGCGAGAATGATAACAACCTGAAAGTGAATTAAATGCTATTAACTATGTCTAACATTACATTTATTGTTGCTTCCATAAAATGACACAGACATGTACTAGTCTTCTCAACTAACAAAGTTTGTCTTAATTGCCTTTCTCATTATATCCCAAGCTATTATAAACGAGACTTGAGCATTAAATTTAGCTTTTGTACGCTCAATTATTTCTCTTAAATTCATATTTATTTGATGATGTATGCTTGGATTAATAAAATCTTAAATGAATTTAAAAAGGAATAGTAAATTAAAGATATACTTCTTTCTTAGATTCAAGGAGTCAATAAACTTTATGAAAAACTTAGTTTTTATCTCTGAAAAACATCACAATTTCATTAGTTTCATGTGTAATATTTATCATATTATCATATTATCATAATTTTTACTAGAACTAAATAAAAATATGACACTAAATAGGATGCAGTGGAGAAAAAGGATTCATGTAGCCGACCTCACGTAATAGGATGAAGGCTTTGTTGTTGTTGTGTTGTATTATGCAACATAGTTAAACAAAAATAGTTGTCATAAAAAAAAAGTACTCGGCTTCTAAAAATTATATTAGAGTTGTGTTCTATTGGTACTTTAATAAATTATAGATAGATATTCTAATCAATGAATAAAGTTGGCTATAAAAGTCAGGTTATTTTTCCTCTAAAAATTAAAATAATTTCATAATAATCACTCATTCAGTGAACTTTAGTATTGTTATGTATGTTCCTATCTAATGACTATATTGTTAGAATTTTGTAGACACATAATAGAAAAGTGGTTCTTTGATAAATGCATAATTTTAGTGAAGCCAAATATTTAAAAAAGAAGAAAGATTTGATGCAAAAGAGATTGAGTGAAAATCCATAATTAAGTTGCATATAAATTTTTCTCTCATAATTGAAATATTATAATTGCATATAATGTTAGAAGCTTTTCTTTTATTTTTTATGATTTATCACTAATCAATGTGTTATATGATTTAACAATTGATTCCATTTTAATTTAGTTATTATAGTACATCAAACTCATAAAAAAAAGCCCAAATTGATGTAACATGATTCAAATACAAAATCAACTTCAAAATAATTTTGTTTGAGATAAATTTTAATAAGTATTACATGCATATTTGAGGCAAATTGCTTGCCTAATTGTAATTATTATGAGGTATATAAAGTCAAATTTCCTAAGAAACGAGATAAATTTTAATAAGTTTTCCGCGCATAGAGAGCAAGAATATTGCTTGCTTAATTGTAATATTATGAGGTATATAAAGTCAAATTTCCTAAGAAAATTAATAAATTGTAAATGTTCTTTTACCTCATCAATTGACAAGTTGGTAACTCTTTATGTTATAATTCAGACATTTTATGCATAAAAATGTGTAGCACCTTGGTAACTTATGTATATGGTAAATTATATCAGTTCTAACTATAAACATAATAAAACATTAACTTTAATTACCATAATTTTCACAATTCATTAATAAAGTCATATATATCTATTTAAAAATATTAATACTGTTATTAAAATAGTTAGTCTTTGTGGCCCCATCAAGTAAAATTTCACCCTGAACCACTATTCACTACACAAACAACTCAAAAGTAACCAACATCTTCATGTTCATGAACCTATAAAACAAATAAAAAATAAATTAGTTTCTACATGAATCACCATATAATTTTCACAAAAATTACAAAGAGAAACACTTGTCATATATTTACAAAACTTCCAAAACCCAGTGAGATTTTTCACATCATCTCCACCACCATGATGAAGGATGGTTAATTACAAACTTAACAAATAAAAATTAAAAAAAAAGCTGACATATGGTCTCTTCCAATAACTCTTCGGATATATAGCAGCACACCTCTGCAATAATATGCTCCATCCCTAACCTATAATCCATCCACATTGTACTGCCCATATCTTTCCTCACTATCTCATTTATTGTGGACTGAACCTGTGAAATTACAGCATAACTCTTAATGGTCTTTGAGACTTCATTAATTATGAAATCTTTCAGAAATGGCTGTAAAGTTGTGGGTTTGAGGAGAGACAACAAGGAGGAGAAGATCTGGAATCGCCTCACTTTTATTTCTGAGAGGACTTCATTTACACAGTCCAGGAGAAGCTTTGGGTCTTCAGGATATGAACTCTGCAATGATCTGATTTCATCTGAAAGTGAAGGCAAACTTTCTAGACTCATCTCTGAATCAAAATTATAGCTTTCCAGCACAGTTCTTACAAATTTAGTCATCATCTCCATGTCATAAGAACAAATTCTTTGATGAGAAATCAGACGATTGGATGGGGTTATCACAACTTCAGAATCTTCATGGAAGTTGAGATGAATTGGTTGCAAAGGCTTGTGTAATTCATCTGTAGTGAATGAATCTGTAAGTGTTTTCAACTTGAGTTAAAGGAAGAAGAGAGCTTGAGAACCAACAAATAAATAAATAAAACGCAAAATAAAAAAAATGTTTAGGGGATATTTGAGTTAACTTTTGCTGTTTATTTTTTATTTACTGTTTTGTTTATTTTTTGATTTGAAATAAAACAAACACGTTTGGCCATTTGATTAAAGTATGATTATTTTTAAAAACACTCAAAATAACGTAAAACTTATTTGAGTATTTTCAAAAAGTTGTTAGTTTGTTTTCAGAAAAAAAAATTAAAAATATGTAAAAAACACATGAAACAAACATATTCCTAAAAACAAAATTAAAAATAAAAAATAAAAATTGATGCTAAATAATCCCTTAGTTAAATTTTAAGTTATACCTAATTTAATACTTGGACAGTCTGGGCTTGTACCATCTTCTAAGAAAAAGGGTTCAAGCACGGATATTGGACTCGCCCTTTCGGGTTTTTCGACGATGAACTCGGAAGGTTCTACGTGCTTAATGATTAAAGAGTTTGGAGATATTGATGCAGGGGAAATCAGCATTCTTGGTTTCTCATTTGGAGTGCCCTGGGAAAAAAATATTTAGTGAGATGATGCTGCCATTAGTTACTTCCTTAACATTAATGAAATCTAAGTTTAGAAACTGAAGGAAAGCAAAGAAAAAGCTGCTTACTAAATACATACTTGCTCAGAACATGCACCAGTGCAACTTTCACATGAAGAACAACCATCTGGTATGTACAAATTGTTGCACGCTGCAGAATTTATATGTACATATTTTTCTTTTTCCACGTCAACAATCTCCTCTCTTCCTGTCAAAGATACAGAAAATCTCACCATCGAGAACCAAAGCAAATGAAGCATCAGTAATGGATAGATATTATACCTTCTGTGTTAGGTTGCTCTCCATCGTAAGTTTCTTCTTCTGAACACTGCTCAGGCCTTAAATTGGAAGAAGAATCATCAATCAACAGGTTGCAATCTGATGGAGAGATCAATTCCTCCAAAGGGTTGGAGTTCTGGTTGTTTGTCGACTTAGCAGTGCTATAATCAGTACTAATCATCTCAGAAAAATATTTCTCTGATTCTTCGTTGAAGGATTCTGCATGAAAGAGAGAAACTGGTGATAATCCCTGTATTTTGCACTGTGTAGCTTCAGTTTCAACATTCTGTTGCCATTCTTTTGAGTTAGTTATTGATTTTGCTTTGCTATTAGATGGAACAGCTTGGGTTGTAACTTTTTTTCTGTTACCTTCTTCGGATTTCATGCTGTATTCGTTAGCTGAACCTTTACAAGCAACCGGAATTCTGCAGAAGCTTTTTTTGGAAATCAAATGCTGCTCCTTTCTGCTATCGCTAATTATGTATTTCAACCTCCTCCTAATTTCTTTAAATGAAAAAAGAGATTTTTCATGCTTCTTGCTGTAACAGGATTGAGGAGACGAGCATGGGCTGTTTTGGATTGAATCATCATTATTCATTGGTATGTGTGGCGTTAGAACAACAATTTTACTCCTTTCCTTCGAACTGTTTCTAATTTTTGATGCAGTTTCCTCGTGAAATTTGTCCTTTTTCTTTAAAAAAAAATGTTTCTTTTGCTTCTGGAACATTTGATTGGTAAAATTTCTCCCATTTTGATCAGAAATTTCATTTTTTTCCTTGGAGTGATCGCTTCCTTCCAAGTAATGAAGTGCTTCCAGTTTAGAAGAGTCTGCAACGTGTGGTTTCAGAAGCTGTTGAATATGGCCGAACACAATTGAGTTTGGATGCTGAACAAGCTTCAGAAACAACTCTTTGTTTGAATTCAGTATCTCCAACGCATCCATAAACTCTTGGGAGTGTATAACTCCATTTCCAACAAGCTGCTTTGTCTCATCAATCTTCTGACTTAAGAAGGCCTCAGCTTCATCAACCAGTGCTTCCAGAAGCATGGAGTTTTTATAGGCAAGCTGTGAATCAGATTCATCAAAATTTGCATATTTTTTATGGGCATTAGATCTGAAGGGACCAAACAAATCAAACCCAATTTCTTCAAACAGATTTGAACAATTACGGCTCACAGAATAGAACTCCGTCATCAACGCAGCCAAATCTAAAATAAGGTTGGAACCATCATAAGCAGAGCCCATTAAGTGACTGAACCGAGGATCCGAGTCATTTTTGTGGTTTTTAAACATCTTTTGATTGGATTTTATGTTCCAGACAGAAGCCATTGAGGTTTTCTCTACGGACATTTCTTCCTCTATAAGTGATTTGACACTTGGCAAGCGAGAGAGAACCATCGTATCTTTACAGCCATCAAACTGTATGGTAACAAATATGACCATGTAATCAGCAATTGTATTATTTTTCTTTTCTGTTAATACAATCAAGACTTTTTGTAATTAAACAGAAGTAACATAAAGAAAGTAGAAGAAAGCTAAGCAATCCAACTTGATTTTATGGACAAAACAAAAAGGAAAAACTCATATGAGGAATTTAACAAAACAGAATGACGAAGGTAGATTTAAATAAAAGTTTAAGCTTTACCCCTCTATCATGTTCATATTTTCTGTCCAAAGTATCCTCCGTGAGATTATTGCCCGAGTAGTGAGTTCCTGCACGAGTTCATTGGCATCTGATTAACATAGTAATGAATAAACTTGAAAAATATCCTATACAAATGATGCAGGATAAAAATAACATACCACACAGGTTATATGTAATTACACATCTAACACTTAAATTTTTTACATACATAATACCCAAATTAATCGATATTACATCAAAAATATCATTATTACTAACTTTTTTAAAGTGAAATATACATTTTTCATGCATAGGTCTGAGACACCAAAGTGCTATATAAGTAAATATTAAGCTTTAGGTGTTAGAAATGTAAACACAAGGGATTTGTGCAGTATGTATGTAAATTATTGGAATTAATAGCCTAATTATTAGCTAATTACTGCTGCAGTTATTTTTAGCTTTTATTTTATTCTGTAGTTTCCGTTTCCATATTTATATATTTCCTAGTTGGTCTGTTTCTGAATTTATGTCATTCCTTTTATTTGGGTCTTGTAATATGTATTTATAACCCTTTTCATATCAATTAAAGTATCATGCATTATTTTCAAAATTAACATGGTATCAGAGCCATGGTTTGAACCCCAGAGGTTGCCTAGCCATTGACCTTGTTTATGCAAGTTTTCTGCTTCTGACCAGTGGCCTCTCACCAGCGAAAGTGGGACTCTCTCTGCACTGCAAACCATGGCAGCCAAATTTTTTCAGCAGTTTACTTTCTTTCTAGGGGAAATCCCGTCCCAAGGAATTTGCAGCGGGCCTTTCTAAAGACCATCTGTAGCATCCGACCCTCTTTTGGTCAGTGGAATTTTCCAAGTTACAACCACTGATTCTTTCTATTCTACTTCTGCCCCCTACACTTCCTCCTGCAGCCGAAATCCTTCTATGTCTAGTCAACCCAACATCACCTTTGGCTCTGTTGGAATCATGGAAGACTCTACCACCAAGCCTCCTCGTAATGGTGTGCTTGAGTCCACCGGAGGATCAATGCCGACCTCAATCCCTTCGCAGACTGGAGGAATAGAAAATCACATGAACTTCCTAATCATCACACATAAACTTAACGGTTCTAATTTTCTCCAATGGTCTCAAGTTGTGTCCTTGTTTGTCAAGGCAAGATGGAAATTTTTTTATCTCACAGATATGATTCGTGAACCCCCGAAAACCGACCCGACGCATGCAGCGTGGGAATTGGAGAATTGCATGGTCATATCGTGGCTGATTAACTCCATGAAGACTACGATTGGTCGTTCATATATATTTCTTCTTCTGTCAGTGCTCTAATGAATTGCAATTCGGGATACCTACTTGGATGTAAGGACCTTCAACCAACTTTATGAGGTTCTAAGAAGATCCGCGAGGTGAAACAGGGTCAGAGGACAATGACCCAGTACTACAATGATTTGGTGGCCTTAGAAATGGAATGCGATCTCTACTATGACTATACGTGAGACTCTCCAGCAGAGCTTTCCCTCTTTCAAAAAATTGTAGAAAAGGATCGCATGTTCCAATTTCTGGCTGGCCTTAATAAAGACCTTGATGAAGACTAGGGTTGTATTCTTGGTTGGGATCCCCTCCCTTCCAGTCTCGCTGCATTCACAGAGGTTTGGTGCGATGAAAACTAGAGACTTGTCCTTTAGTCAAATCATCTGCCTTGGTCACTAATAGTATTGAACACTCATCCACACAATCTCCAGCCGCAGGCTCCACTTGTGACTATTGTCAGAAACCCAACCATACTCATGACAAGTGTTGGAAACTCCACTGTAAACTAAAATACAAACCTTCAGATAAATCCTCCTCTAATAAGGGACTCAATATAACATCTGAATCTGTTACGACACAATCAACTCCCACTCAGAACACTACAAAATCATCAGACTCTCTTGAAAGTCAGATGGAGCAATTAATTAAGTTGTTTGGATCCAGTCAACTCACTTCTGACCCATCTACTCTGTGAAGGTACCATTATTATGACGCTTACCATTTTTGTCGCTTCTAGTCCATAGATCACTGATTCAAATGTCACGAACCACATGATAGACATCTATGTTTCAACTTTAGGGGGAGTATTAGAATTATTAGTCTAATTACTGCTACATTTATTATTAGCTTTTATTTGCTTTCTCTTCTTTCAGTTTCCATATTTATGTATTTCCTAGTTAGTTTATTTCTGAATTTATGTCTTTCCTTTTACTTGGGCCTTGTAATATGTATTTATAACCCTTTTCATATCAATGAAAGTATCATGCATTACTCCCAAAGTTTACATAAATTTTCCAAAAAAGTAATGTGGAGAAAATCTTGAAATGGTATGTCTTGGAACTTTTTTGCTACAATGGCAACAAAGCCAATATTTTTTCAACTTTCTTATAAGTTTCTGTTACATGATTTACTTATAAGTTTCTAATAAGTTGGTAAATCATGTACTGTTGGTCGGAAATTGTTATTTGCATTGAAAATATATTTCTTTCTCATATAAACAATTAAAAATCATAAAACAGGGGCATTTGGGGCTGCATCTACATTTATATAATAACCTTTTACAAGTTGGCTCAGTAATTTCTGAAGAATACATTCATAATCTAACAGTTCATTATAGTGGTTAAACTGAGATTCGCTGTTGTAGCTAAATAAGAAAATTGAACAAAATTTAGTAAATATACATTATGATGGATGTTGTTTTCTTATTCTATGTAGTTTCCCTTATACCGGATTTCAGTTTTCAACAGTTTCTGATTTTATTTATCAATCGATAAATCTTACTTTAAGCTCATTATTCTACATGATAGAGCAATGAAGATTATGTGTCTACACGAGTCGAGTTTGAGCGAGCCCAATGTTTGGTCATATGCATCTCATTCAAAATTTACTTGTTTGAAATCGGCTCGTGTTCAAAATGGCTCATGAATAGCATAATTGTGTTTGGCTCCATTCAAATTCATATGTTCGTTTATGACTAGAATTTAGCTTAAATGATTTAAGATAATAATAAACTTTAATAATTGTAATATTCAACATGATAAATCAATGTAGAACGCTTATAATAAACATTAATAGTTTAATTATTTAATTAATGTGAGTCAAACACGGTTAAACAAAAGTTTATTCTTATTTAGCTTGTTTATAGATCAAGCTCAAAAAAGGTGTTCGTGTTAGCTCGCTTGCTTAACAAATGAATTAAACACGAGCGAATTAGCTAGTTGAACATAATTTATTCACGAACGACAAGCCTTTTTGACACCCTAGTAAATATATTGTAAAGCAAAAGAAAGAGAAATCATCAATATATGACCAGCTCCTAAAATGAAACAGCTAATTTAAGGTTGTCTTCTTTTTTAAAAAGAAAGCTCATTTACAAATGTTAAAAATTATCAAGTCACAAAACTATTCATCCTACACCATTTCAAATTCAAGAATTGTAAAAGAAGTGCGAATTAAGGAGCATGAACAGTCCAACTTTTAATCAAGAAAACTGTTTGATTGAAGCTATTAACCGAACAAAAAAATACTTGAGGCACTCACATGCAAAATTGGAAAATTTACTTGACAGTGGAGGGATTGATATAAAAAAAAAACTGCATTATTTATACTTTGATGATTAAGAGGAACCATTGATTTATCAGTGAAGGGATCAATCACTAAAGAAAACATGTCCTATTAAAATTTTCCAAAATAACAGAACAACTATAGATTAAAGTAAAAAGATTTCTCTCACCACGATTTCTCGCACTCCTGCGCTTTCGATCTGTAAGTAATTTACGAAGGTTGTAGCTCTGGCTAAACTCAAATATGCTAACGAAACTCTGTATCCAGCTTGCATTATCCCTCTCAGGAATGGAAGACCTTCTCTGTGCCTTCTTTCCCATATCCTTATCTAGATTTAGCTTTGGGAAATTGACCTCAACCAGTGGAGATCCGTCAAAGAAAACAGGAAACTGAAAGAAAAAATAAGAGGAAAAATTCATATTTGATAAGCCTGACTCTTACAAGAACACAAATGGAATTGGTGTTACACATCAGCTTACTGAAGCTAAGGGATTTGTTTGATTTCTTGAGATAAAAGAACAAAAATAAAAGTTTAAATCCTTAATGCTCATGAAATAACATCAACGGAAAGTTATTCATTTGTAGCACTTCCATGCATTTTCTTGTAGATTTCACTCCATATTGAGATTACTCTAACAAATTAATTATAAAGGGAATTTAGATACATATCACCCATTTCTATATATTTACATATCTAACACCAAGACTTTATTTTTTATATTTATAATTCCCAAATCTTCCATATCAGATCAAAAACACCACCATTTCTACTTTTAAAATGAGAAACACATCTTTTCATGCATAATTCAGGCGTCATGTGAGTAAAAAATGAAGTCTAGGAGTTAGATATGTAAATACATAGAAATTGAGTGGTCTATATGAAAATTTCATAATTATTGTTTGAAGTTCATCTTCCCTAACACAGATCTTCCCTCTAAAAACTTTATTTTATTTATTTATTTATTTTTTTTTTGGGGCAATTGTGAGTTCTAGGACTTTGTTTAAAATTTCTGCATGAAATCAACATCAACATAAACCACCAACATAATGAATTCAATTGCATTTCTAGAACTAGAATCAAGAAGCATAATGAAGAGATTTTCTGCAGATTAAATGCATGCATGAAATTAAGAAGCAAGTTCCATGCTAACATTAAAGAAGAACAACACTGCTTTAAGTCAGTTTCAGAGGAAAAGAACTTCAAAAAATTTAACATTACGATAAAGCTAGAGAATCAGAACTGTTTCTGCCACTCCGATAAAAAAGAAAGGAATCAATACTTTTCTTCCCCTGTAAACCGAACTTTCAGCTTTTTCTACCACTTAGCCATTACAAACCTGGAAAAGGAAGAAAGCCGCAGGGACCGATCAATCGTCCTACATGCAATTAACTCCAAATCCAAGAAGTTTCAACTCATAAATTAACTCAGGACAAAGCAAGAAATTCAAATCTTATTCATTGTTTCTGCGGATTCCTAATGAATTATACAACTGAGCTGATAATCCCCAGAAAAAAACGAAACCCCGACAGAAACATGAAGTAAAAATTAAGAAAGGAAGAAGTTACCTAAGCTTTCTTTCTCTTCAAAAACACAATGCATGTTTCCCACAAGAAATTGGGAGAAACCCGAGAAGCAATCCAAACCTAAATTTTCTCCAACCACCGTCGGACGACGACTCAACACTATAAAAATTACTTCAGATTTAGGAGCTAGCTCGAAACCACCATTAAAGAAGAAGAAGAAGAAGAAGAATAAGAAGAAGAGAGAAGAGGGGGGCAGTTACGCTGGAAAAGCAGTGCTCCCCATTACCACTACACATTCCGAGCTCTCCCTTACCAGCTAACAAATCGTGGGGTTACTCTCTGCCTCCCTCGGCTTCAGCCAAGGGTTTAATGGAGGCGGAGAGAGGAGATTGGGGTTTACTCCATTGTCGAAGGGCATTTTGGAGACGGAGATACGGAGAAGGTAGTTGTCTCTGTGCGTCTTGACTTCTGGACGGGGGATAACGGTCGATTTCAGACGGCGACGAACCGCTCCCGGCGCGTTGGTACACAATAATAAACACCAAACAGCGTAGCCCACGAATAAGGCTTGGGAAAAGTGCTGCCGTGCTGAATTTGTTTTTATTTAAAAAGTGAGGGGTAATTATATAAACAAAAAATGAATGTTTGGAAGAACTAGCAATATATATATATATATATATATATATATATTTTTATATATATATATATATAT